ATGTGAAGTATTTAAAATATTTGAAGTTTGCACAACTTTTAAGATGATAAATGTACTACTATGCGTATATTTTGTAGCTGAAAGGAACTGTAATTTGAACTTATTCATTCATTTATTTATAAATGCTAAAGAAATGGGACAACAGAAATTTCTTGGTGACCATTTGGTGAAATTTCAAGTCTCGAATAAATCTCGCTGCATATTCTCACATCTGGTGATTGCAACATGTTAATTATATTTTTGTCAATAAAAACTAATAACAGTTGTGTTACTGCATTGATTTTAATTCTTGAAAGAGTATTACAGGGTCTGCTAGAAACACCTGATGGGTTTTTTTTTTTTTTCGTATTCCTACAAAATGTTACATTACTTTAACATTTATTTCTTAGCAAAGATACATTTCTGTTTTATTGGAGAATTACACTGTTGCTTGAAAATCACATTACTTAAGCATCCACCATTGTGATTAATGCACCCGTTTAGTCTTGCCAGAAATGATGACATAACTCATTGCAGTGTATCTCTCAGAATTTCCTGAATGCACTTGCAAATTTTTTCAGCTTATCAAATATCTCACAAACATTGCTGGAAAACTTCCTGCTTTGAATAAACCCACAATAATGTGTTGCAGTCAGATCAGATGAGTGCTAGTTATTTCCAAAGCCAGAAATATTTTTCCCAAGAAACATTCCCCTGAAAACTGCCATGGATTCATGCATTGTGTATGGTGTTGCTTAATTTTGCTGAAAACATTTATGATATGGATTAATCTTGTGCCAGAAATGTTTCCAATAGGGTTTTTGTAGTGCACTGAATTCACTGTAACATCATTGTCTTCTTTGTCTTAAAAAAATATATATATATGGTTTGATATTGTCATTGGATAAAATGCAGCACTGTACACCGTACTCATGTAGCACTACTGGTGAAGTTCACCTGGATTTCTTTTGGCCTAATATCAAAAGTTTTGTTGGTTTACATATCTTAACAAATGGAAGTGGGCCTCATCTGACATTATTAATCTGTTCAGGATATTTCCATTCAGCTTCCATTAATTCCAGAAACTCATTATAAAACTGAAGTTTTTTTTCTCTTGTCCTAAACATTAGGATGTTGGTAACCTGTATTTTGTAAGGATGATAATACAAATCTTTGGTAAAAATTCTGTAAATACTACTCTCTGACAAATCAAGAGGAAATCTGCTCCAAACACTTGTTTCAGAGCAGACTGCAGAGGATGGCATATTTTACATAATTTGTGTTTTCTGCCATTAGAACCAAATGGCAGTGTCCTGGAGGTTTGGTGTTCTTCACACTTCCTTTTTGACACCATTTTGACATACATAGTAACACAGTATTCAGACTAGGTTCATCATGCCAATTAAACTGTAGTCAGAAACTGCATTGAGTTGCTGTGATTGACTCCTTTTTTATAAACATCTCTACTGCCATAATGTGATGTTGCATGGATCATTGTTCCATTTCAACTGAATTGCAAAGCACAGGAAACACAATGGTGATTAGTATTACGGTGACACCCAATTAAATAATTTCACAAAACCTTCAAAAACACCAGCAGAAAAATATATTTAAAATAAATACGTTGAGACAAATGTTTTCAATCTAATTAGGATCTGCTTCAGGTCATTAATGTTTTGGAAGAATTAGAATGCAAGACATTTGAATTTAAATATTTTAAAATAGTCCAAACTGTAAACCCTTATAACCAGTATACAACAAAAATCACACTTAGGTTTAACATTAACATTAAAACTAAAATAAAAATTAATAAATACATTTTTAAATCATATGTGAATTAATTGATTTCCTATTTTTTAATGTTGCCAGGATCATTGAAAAAGGATTGCCAGGCATGTGAGATATTTGTCTCCTCCTTAAAATTGATGCATTACCCCTTTAGTTCAGCTTTAAAATTTTCCAGAGCCTCTAAAATTTTGATTTGATTCATGCGAAGAGAGCATCTAATGAGAGAGCGAAAAAAGTCTAAGGAGGAGGCGAATATCTCACATGCCTGGCAATCCTTTTTCAACAATTCTGGCAACATTAAAAAATAGGAAATCAATTAATTTTCATATGATTTAAAAATGTATTCATTAATTCTTGTGTTAATTTTTATTTTAGTTTTAACATTAATATTAACACCTAGGTGTGATTTTTTGCTGTATACTGGTTATAAGTTTGGATGATTTTAAAATACAGTAATATCCCGAGCTTACGCGATAGGTGGGACCGAGCGGTAACCGCGTAAGTCGGGGTATAATTTCGCATATAAATACATACAAATAATTTTTAATTGGGCCAGAGACTAAAGAAAACAATAATTTAGAAAAAAATGTTTAATAAAATCTTAGATAATACATATGTATAACAAATTAGGCCTATATTATTTTGCAGTTTTTCACATTTACTTGATTATTACGCCATAATTTTAACATTGTTTCCATCTCAGCGATAATACTGTGACGTTTACGAATGATGCTTGAATTTAAAGATTGAGCATTTTTCACAGCTTCGAGAATTTTTTCTTTGCCTTTTATAATTGTTCTGACCGACAATTCCGGTAGATCAAACTTCTTTGCCAATTCACAAATTTTCATTTTTGTATCGAAGTCTTTAATAATGGGTACGTTCGTAAAGTCAAACGAGTTAAACGCGTTAGTAACGAATCGTTCGAAAAGTCTAACGAAATAGGAATAACGATGACGTCATTCTCGTTTAACTCGTTCGACTTTACGAACATACCCAATGTTAACTTTACATTCCAAAGATAAAGTTTTTCTTTTCTTGTTTGATGCGGAAGAATTAGTTCTACTTCGTTTGGATGACATAGTAGAGTCTCTCGAGTCTCCGTAGATATAACAAACACAGAAATAAATAACACAAAATAAATTGTAACTATGTGTCGATTCCGCACGACACATCCGAACATGTAAGCTGAACAATAGTGTGGGGGGAGTGAGTAATCAAGGGTTGCATGGCGCTCAAACAAAAGGCAAATCGACGAGATTTGAAATCGTGTAACTCCGGGTTCGTGTAAGTCAAGGTATTACTGTATTTAAATTCAAACATCCTGCATTCTAATTCATTCAAGCATTAATGACCTGAAGCAGATCCTAATTGGATCAAAAACATTTGTCTCAACATATTTATTTTAAATATATTTTTGTGCTGGTGTTTTTGAAGGTTTTGTGGAGTTATTTAATTGTTTATAACCAGCTTTGTAAAGATTCAGAAGTGACACCCAGCACACATGAAACAAAAGCAATTTTAAAACCACCAGGTTTTTCTGGCATATCCTGCATATGTAAATTATATATAGATCTATATAATTATAGTAGTAATTTTCAGAATTTATTAGATTTATTATTTTATTAGAATTTGTATTTTACATAACATGTCATGGTTTTGTAAATAAAATGAATTTAATTAAATATGCATTTAATGGATGTTTTCAATAGAATTGATATTTTTAGATAAGCTAAAGATTCAAATAAACTACAGTATCTGTTAAATATATGATGCTTCACTGGAATATAAAAAACATTATTTAATTCAATATAAGTATTTTTTAGCTTTCTCATCACTTAAAAGAAATGAGAAAGATATCACTTAAATTGTATAATTTTTCAAACTTTTAAGTTTATTCTTGTTGAATAAAACTGTGCATGGTTTTGAACTTGTGTTTTGAAAAAAAGCTTTTTGATAATTTTAATATATGTATTTTAGTAATAATGTTTAGTTTTTATAAATGAAGTTGTGTTGTTTTCTTTGTGATATGTTCATTAAATTAATATTTACTTTGCTAATTATAATAAGTATTATAACAATAAATTGAAATAGCTTTTTTATTTCAGTTATATTATGACTGGATCATACAACAATTTCTTTCGCATATTCGATCGTCACACAAAACGTGACGTTATGTTAGAAGCTTCCAGAGAAATAGCTAAACCAAAGACTGTTCTTAAACCCAAAAAGGTTGTTTTTCACTTTATATTATAACAAACATAATTTTGATTTTTTTTATTTTTCTTTTTTCTTGTTTTTTAAATGTTAGGATTTGAAAATGTTTTTATTCTCCATTTTAACAATTAACAAATTTTGTGGGATTAAATATTCTTTTTGTATCAGAAAATTCCAACTAGTAAAATTTTGAATTAATAATTGTTATTTGTATGAATTCCATTATATTATTTAGAAAGTTTTTACATTCTAATTACTTTTTAGAGTACAGTTGAAATGATAAGAACCTATTCATTATTTTTATTGTTATATAATTTTTATTTCCAAATTTAGAATTTAAATATTGAATAGCACTATAGGTTTTAAAGTTTTAGCATCTTGCATATTTTATATAACAATACAAAATTATCATACATAATTCTATTGTGTATTGCTTCCAGTTTTCCTGGTGTATTAGAAGCCAAAGTGGCAAAACATAAGCAACATTACAAACAGGGCACATTTTCAACGTTAACATTGGCCACAATGCTTATGATGATGATGTTATCATTGTCATTGGTAATGCATTCCGACAACATTTACGCCAACTCAAAAAATTACACTGTTTCTTAAAGTCGGCACTTTGATAGCTCTGATGACAGTAGACAATTATCAACAGTTGAGACAACTGATGTGCATGTTGGAAACCAGAAGTTAATAGGATCGGGAGATCTTTGATAAAAATCTGTAGTTTTTCAAAAAGTTCTCATTTTTAATTGCTTTAATAATGGAAAAAATGACACAATTGAATTACAATATTAAATATTATAATTAGTTTTTAATTTTAAAATTAACTTATTACTTTGATTTTAATGAATTTTTATCTTTAAATTTGTAAAGTTTTATGCACATCCACCTTCTGGATTCAATTTCTCAACTAGGTCAGCCTGTTATATCCAGTAGTTTTAATTGTTATTCTTTAACTTTTAACTGATGTCAAAACATGAGCATTGATTCTTTCTTCAAGGAACTTTATCTCAATAAAGTGTAAGTTTTGAGCAACACATAAGTTTGGATATACAGTGGTGCCTCGTATAACGTACTTAATCTGTTCCAGGTGCATGTCCATTAAGTGAAAAGTCCGTTATACGAAATGCAAATTTTCCCATAGAAATACATGTTAAAACATAATTCGTTCCGCAGCATAAAATAACCATACTGTACCATTAAAAAAATGAAAGTGGAGCAGTCACCAATTATGCCGGGTAATCAGATGTTGTGAGGAGGAGGTGGAGGAACACTTTCTTCATACATTCATACAGATACAGACTTTTTACACATTGCAGAAGGTCTCTTTTTATTGTTTTTTAATCGGAGTCAGATTCAGGAGAGGCTACTGGGGCTTGCAGGGTCAACTCCTCTTGTTCCATCCTTTGTTTTTTGCCTGCTGGCTTCTTAAAAAACATGTCCAAGGTGGTCTGTTTCTCTCTCTCTTCTTCAAGACCTGTAGGAAATGACGGGCAAGGGTGTCGTCGTAGAGATCATTGATCCTGTTGGCGTCAGATCTGTTTGGATAATGATCATTGGTAAACTTCTGAACCTCTCCCCATTTGACAAGGAAGTTCGTGTCAACTTTCACTCCTGATGATTTCTTGCTTTGTTTCAATTGAAATCGCCTTTCTGTTTTTTTAGAAGCAATGATTTGCACAACACTTGAATAAATGTAAATACCCTGCACTGAGGTGATGTACGTAATAACAAGGGAGCAAGCCAAATCCCAACAAGAGCTCTGTACTTCAGATATACTAGTAATATATTCTAATAATACTAATATATTATAAAAATAGCAGATTGTCATTGGCAACAGCAAAACAGTAGAAACATCATTCCTTGTTTGCAGAAAGTTTGTTGTTCGCCTCACATAATTTGCCGAACGGAATGTCCATTGTTTGCAGCCAGTCCATTGCTCGAGTCACATAACGGCCAAACAGAAAGTCCATTATTTGAGGCATACATTATACAAGGCACACTATATTTTAAAATAATTAAATAAATAAATAAGTTAAAACAGTGAAATAACTGGAAGAAAATTTAACTTTTACCGTTCAATGGTATTCCTGCTGATTTTTTGTAAAGTTTGCTCATTAATACATTAAATAGAGTGCCAAGTTTTAAGGTGTTTGATTATTGGTGCAAAATTATATACTTTTTGAAGATTATTACTAAAAGAGAGTGAATTTTTCTCTGTTTTTAGTGTTAAATTATTTTAATCAATAATTTCTGTTTTAGCATTAAAAAAATATATGGAAACTTCAACATTATCAAATTTGTAGATCGATATTTTTATGATGTAGCTATATTTATGAGAGTTTAAAAAATTATTTATTTATGTTAGGTATAACTGAATAAAATGACAGTAAAGACCCATCAAAAGTTTCGTATCTAAAAAAGTGATTGATGGTGGTTCACAATTGTAATTTTTGAATTCAAGAACAATTATTTACATAAAATTTCTTTTCTACTATGAGATTATTTGGATGTTAAAAATTTTACTTTCCATCACTATGATTTTATTATAAGATTAATTGCTTTATCACAAAAATATTATATCTACAGTGAGGATTGTCTGCTTATTATCTATGTAACAATTATGTCAAATCTAATTATAATAATTGTGTATTACATTTATTACCTGATTTTTATATTGGTAGTAAATCCAGTCTATTGATTTAGGTGTGCACAGGCGGAAAGAGGAAAAAAGACGAAATAAGTGTAGATTGTTTAGATTACACTCGAAAAATTCTTCATACAGCATGGCATCCTCAAGAAAACATAGTTGCTGTTGCTGCAACTAATAATTTATATCTCTTCCAAGAAAAGTTTTAATAAATGAAAGAATGTACAGATGAATCAGGTAATTTTATAAATTATTAAAATAAAATTTGAAATTCAATTTAAAAAGTCAGAATGATGGATGATTGAAATCTATTCAAATTCCTCCCTATTGATAGATAATCAGAAATTTTAATTCTTGAAATTTTAAAGACAGGTTCCATTTGTGGAATGGATCTGTCACTCGTCTGACAGTTGGACTATCAGACTAAATTCTTCTATGTGAGTAATCTTCATTCCAACTGGCAGTTCGTCAAAATGTGTGATAATTCTTTGGAAATAAAATCCCTAAATATTTTTCAATTACTAACAATTGGCTACTTCTGTTGGTTTTCTTTCTAAATATTTATATTGAAAAGATGTCATTCCTTGGATTTATATAGTTTCTTCAAATTTTTTGTGTGTTACATTTATATTTCTGTAACTTATGTCTTAATCTCGGTAGTTATTTATTTATATATAAAATTTTCATTTGTCATTATATATACAGTAGGTTTCATCTAACTAGTTTGCTTGCTACAGTATTACAGTAGATCAGTACGTTTTTAAGATTTTTCAGTTTATTTACGTATAGTAGATTCTTGATGAGTTGAACTTAATTTGAAATTCTTGCTAACTCAAATTTTATTTTTGTCTTGGCTTAACTTTCATAAACTCAATGCTTTCTGTATCACTATAAGTCTAGCCTATGTATTATTTCTAATAATGATTTGTTTTATGAAATTTGTATGCATTTGTGTAACTATTTAAAGCAGGGGTCAGAAACTGGCAGCCTGTGGCCCATTAAGGTTTCATATAAGGCCTGATGCCTTGATGGTTTCTTTTCTAAAAATCAATGTTTCTAACATCTTGTGGAGATTAAAACAAAAAAAAAAATTGAACTTATAACTTTTATGTAAGTCATAAAGGCCTGGCAAAAAAAGGTGTCTTTGTTTGAGCTATTTTTTTTAATGCATTAAGATATAAAATCAAAAAAAGAAATTTTTGTAAAATTAATTGAACAAATGTACTTGATTATAGATACATTTTATATTGAAGTAATTCTTTTATAGTGAAGAACATTGCAGAAGTCTGAACAGCTCCATCAAAATTTCCAGAATTATACTGAATTTTAGCTACTTAAAAGTATAAAAGAGTTGAACTAATATAAATTACAATGTTTTTATTAACAATTTTATAAATATAATTTGGATTTTTGTGATAAATTTTCTTCTTTGAATGACAAAAGTGTACCCTTTAAATTATATTTTGTATTTAGGAATAGACTTTATCCAAATTTCACAATTGTTATTTTTTGGTATAAGGATACCTTCATCTTTCCTATTTTGAAATGGGAATTTTGGTTTAAGTTGAAAAATAGTGTCCTTGATTAAGAATCATTTTGTTTTTTATCATTCAGTTGGACATAATGAAAGAAATAATCTTGAAATTGATGATGATGATTTACAAATTTTAGGGAGAAATAAATATGATTTTTTTTTGTAAGTAAGTACAACATACTTTGACATCATATTAGTTTATAAAATAAAAGTTTTAATAAAATTACTTTTATTTTTCAGTTTTTCATCGCATACTGGCAGATATCAGGTTGGAGAACATTGATTTGAACACAATTCCATAAATCTGTTATATTAGCAACAATGGACCCAATACTTCTATATTGCTGATGTGAAAAGTCTCAGAGTTGCAAGAAAATGCAACCGGTATAGTAATAATTGTTTTAGTTAATGCAGCTGGTGGTCACAAGTGTTCAAAGTGAATTGTGAAGAGAATAATGCCTCCATCAATGTGATTATTTGTAACAGATTGTCTTGTGGATCTTTGGGCTATTCATCCCAACTTACCTTCCTGTTATTCCTGTGCCTTCTGCTCATATTTTAGGCTTCACAGGGTTTGCCCATTGATCTTCAGCAGTTGTGTCCACTCTCAGCAAGCCAAAGTCACTGATGCCTGCCGGAGATACTCTGTGATTATCTCCTCCCTAACCTAGTTTGCTGCCTCCCTTGTGCCATTTGTGTATCACTTCTCAAATTGTGAAAAATTTGTAAACAAAACGTGTGATGATGTAACTATTGATACAAGTTTCGGAGAGAGTGTTGCATATGAATGTATGTGCAGAAGTGATAGGATTTGATTGCGTGATTGCAAGAACACATCAAACTGTAAAAAATGTAAATAATAAAAAGAAAGCTTGCATGATTTTTAAAATGGAGCATTTTTTCCTCGGCCTCTCACATGCAAAGTTCAAGTGAGTATCCGACGTTGCGAGCACAATGAATTCTATTTTGGGGCCATAGCTTAATTACAAGGGTTCCATGCCGAGCATTGTGGCATTCAGAGGGAGATCAATTCTTGTCATGAAAGAAGCCATAATGTTTTGTCTTCCAATGTGTTCATACCAAGTCATTTTAGAAATAGTTTGTCAACCATTATCATAAAAATATCCAGACAAGAAAATAAAATCCATTTCATTGGTAAAGACAGTCCAAGAATGTAGTTATGCATCTGTTTGACGTTCAGGCAGTTATTTTTTCTTGTATATTTATGCAAATGAACAAGCAGTATGTCAGATAAATATTAGGCTAAAAGTTTAAGTACAAGATGTCCAAATAAGTACTTTAACCCTCTGATGCGTAAACGTTTTAAAGCGTTTCTTTCACAGAACCTTCAAAGCACAAAATATCTGTTATATTAGGTTTTAGGTGAACTTTATAAATAAAAAGCTACACATGTATAGGCAATCATATTTTAAGTTAAAAGATTATAGTACAAAAATATTTAAATTTATGGTCACAGCATTCCATTTGAAAAGAAAAATTATACTTCAAAATTTCATACAATTATAGTGAAATGTGTGTCAAAGGATTAAATTGGCTAGCATTATTATGAAATTTATAGTTCTTATATGGACTTCTTGTATAAATAACATCCAAGATCTAAAATGTATTTAAAATTTTATATTTTATAGAACATTGTAAATTATAAAAAGAGGGCATATTCATAAATCCATCATTTTAGTCGTAGAAGAGTGCAATAATATATCTTAATATAGAACGTTTAATAAAGACTTAGTATAATTAATTTTTATTTAATGTTCGAATTTATATGGATTTCATACGTCATCATCACGTTCCATCATCGGTCCAGGATATGAAATGCCATGTCCATTTAAAAGAAACAACAGTTTTCGACAGCTTATTTATATTGAAATTTGCACTCGTTTTTAAGACGGAACATATAATTCCCAATATTGAGATATAAAGTATCCATGAGTGGAACGGCAGCTACGTAAATGATCTTTACACAATACATTTGTTCCCGGCCAAATCTGGCATTTTATTAAAAGCATATTCACCTGACAAACTGCTTGTTATAATCACTTGGCATTTTCAGAATAACCGAAATAGACTGTCGTTATCAACCGTCTCCAAAACTATGTGTTTCCTAGGTTTTTTCAATTCTGTACCTACATTGCATACATTACCAGTGTTTCACAATCAGTCAATTTCTGCTCAATAGCAGTTCATCCTGTGACAATGTATAAAATATATCATTGTTGTGTTATAAATCAGATGCAAGATAAATATGAAAAAAATTATGAAAATAAAACTTATCTCATACAAAATTGAGTACTTTTCTTTTTTTAAGGATGGCACAATTTAAAAAATTAAATCAGATATATTTACAATATGCCTGCAAAACTAAGGGGGGAGAGAAATTTTTCATAAACTTTAATATATATATATATACTATTCAGTTGTGGAATATACAGCACTATAAATCGTACGTCATTTTGGTTATAGTTAATTGGACTTTCCATACTTTTGTTCATGGGTTCTACAGTCAGAAATATATTTTGTACATGTGGAAAAATTATTTTGATCCCAAAATAATCAAATTCACAAAATTATATTTGCCAATTGTTGAAAGTTTAATAATAAATATATTAAAGTATTTACACTCCAAACGTAAAGATATTTGCAAAAATTAAAAAGTTACATCATTTTAAAGTAAGATTGAACAAAAGTATGGAATGCTGATGATTAATATTGTGTAGGGCCACCTTTGCAACTAATTACCGCCGTAATCCTTCGTGGAATTGTAGAAATAAGTTTTCTTACATAGTTTTTGATCGACCTCTCTCCGTGATTCTTTGTTTTCTATACAGTAGTTGTAGCTCCTTTTCAGACATTATTCTCTTCAGAACAGTTCAAAACATTTTTCAGCAGGTGTTAATATATCGGACACTAGCAGGAAAAGGTTACCGTTACACTAAAGCTACAACAAAGCCGTATATAACAAAAAAACGAAATACTGAAATGGGCCAAAAGTCATCTCATTGCCACTCATTAACAGTATATGTTCACAGGTGAATCAAAAATATGTATTGACTATGGTGATGATGGCAGTACATTAGTTTATAGATCGGATGAATTAAAATGGGATGAAATTTTTCGTCAGCAAAATTTCCTAAATATGTAATGTATAAATTGTAAAGCAGTCGTCTTTAATAGTACATTGAATGCCAATGGTTATTAGAATCTTTAATCGTTAAAATATCCGATGATGATTTTGACCACGAGGACGACCATGATTTCGTCTACCATAATAACAACGTATGCCACAGGCTAGACAAATTAAGCAATGGATTCAAGAAGCATTTAGAATGGTCTGGCAACAGTCCAGATGTATCCCATTGATAATATTTGGAATGTTCTGAAGAGAATGGTGTCTGAAACGAAGCTATAGCTATAGAATAATTCGAATCACGGCCATGGGTCGATCCTAAACTATGTAATAAAACTTATTTCTACAATACTACAAAGAATTACGAGTGTAATTAGGGCAAAAAGTGGCCATACACAATATAAATCATCAGTATTCCATACTTTGGTTCAACTCTTACTTTGTTTAAAATGATGTAACTGTAATTTATGCAAATATCTTTACGTTTGGTGTGTAAATTCTTTAATATATCTATCATATTCTCTAATTGTTAAAAGTTGGATATATTTTTGTGAATTGGATTATTTTAAGATAAGAATTTTACCACAACAATTACAAAATATTCCATACTTTAGTTCAGGGGTTTTTTAACTCTTCGCCCTGTGAGCACTAAGAGGGCCTCTTTTTGCAAGCCCATAATGGGCTTGCATTATGGGTTCGTAATGGGGCTGCTGAGTGGTGAGGGACGGGGCCCGACATATCCGAACGGACCACCTTACGAAAAAGTCCTGGGGATTTTTCGACCCGTTCGGATTCGAACCCGAGTCCTCCAGAGCGGTAGGGGTTGCGTATGTATATATATAACGTATTTATGCTTTGTACTGCCACAGTCCAAAATAATTTTCATTTCTTTATTTAGTAATTCACTGTAAAATATTAAGAGATTGATCTTGATAAATAACAGTTGTAATATTCTGTTCGGGCATTAAACACTTTTTTCCCTAGATTCACTATTGTTTGGATGTCACTAGCATTTTTTTTCTAATATATTATTGATAAATATAGAATGGGTTTTCAGTTGCATTATTTTGCAAGTGATATGCTGGTTCCTCGGTGCTTTCCTCTGTGGAATGATTAGATGGTGGTTCAGCTATCTTTTGTTTTTTTAAACATTTTTGAAGGAATATTTGAATTTCGTCTTTTATAGCGATTGTATCGTTCTATTTTATATTTTCTTGACATATGTGAGGAAGTAACGGTGTTACTCATTCTGAACTGTGTTGAAACGACCGAAAAAAATGACAGACAAATTTCTTGTATATTTGTGATATTTTTTATTTTTAAAAATAAGGGAATGTTTACCAAACCGTTAGTTTATTAATACAACTGGAATAATTACAGGTAAATTTTAAATGAGGAAACGTCAGTTTATGCTGATCGATGAAACTAAAACAGATTTGTTAATAAAGATCTGTTTCCAATTTGAAATTGGTTTATCTACAATTGTGAGGATATTTCGGGACCGGCATAATTCTACTATTGTACTATTTAATTAATTGTATATATCATACTAACGATTACAAATAAATGACCAGGAAGGAATATAGTTAAAAAAACTTGATATTTTCAAAGACCCAATGTTTGAAAATATTAGATGCATTATTGACTAATTAAACCCTTCCAAACTTTTATATGGTTTAAAGTTTCTTTTGTGTAAGTAGGTATACGTAGTTTGCGTAAGATAAAAATTGGATTTTGAGACATTCGGATTTAATTGTTTAAAAACGTTATTTTTGACGTATTCGTCTAATGGATCTGGAAATTCCAAATCTTTATATTTGTTTTTCTTGATAACTTTTGATTCAATAACTTACGAATGAAAATAATTTCCAGACATCGTACACTTGTGTGTCGTTTAAATACGACCAACCAGAAATAAAGCGGAAGTCCAAGCAAGGCTTTCATACAGAACATGCTCATGTTTTTGTTCATCCAAGAATGCAGTGTATATTTTAGAGATTTCTGTAGAATGTAACTACAGAAATCTCTAAAATTCAAAAGGTAGGAACTTTTTTTTATTTGTAACGTAATCGGCAAGGTACTTTTAATTGACTGTGTTTTTAAAATACATTTAAGAGTTAAATAATTATAACACTAAGTTTTGCTCCATTCCTTTCGAGTGCTCTTCGTAAGATTTTTGACATTATTCCTTCAATAATTGTGATTAAAGATTTTTCTCTGAATGGAAAAGAGTAACGTCCACAAAGATTTTTTTTATTTTAATGACGTGTCGCGTACTCGTACCACATTAACATTATTATTTTAGCCAAAATTGAGTTCTGCGCAGTCGCATTTCCTTCGGCAATTAAAAAGGGGTATTGTAAAAATTTCCACGCTTTCGGTTACTTTTCTAAGAAAATCTTTTTTCGGGTGAAAATGTCCTACGTCCATACGCTGAATTTTTTACTTTGCCCGAGTTTACGGTGAACGTTTCTAATAACTTTATCGAATTCGTTCGATAAGGGAATGGGTCAAAAACTGGCCCTTAAGATTTTCAATTTTTTGGACTAGGGAAATTTTGAAACGTCGAGAAATTCAAAACAATTCGAGGACTTTTTCTGAATGTATGGATGTTAATAGGGTTCGTCTAACGGGATCCCGTCTTTTTCATAAGAACAAGAAATTTGCGAGATTTTCCTGGTTATGTTGTGTTAAGGTCGAGGAAATTTTGCAAATAGAAAGTATAATTAACTCATAAACTGTCAGAATACATCGTATTTATTAATTTTAAGCTCGCTTATTAGTTAAAATTTTTGTTCGTTATGGCATGTCACAAATGGTCAATCAATACGTAGCCTATTTGTGGCAGGACACTGAAAATTCTTTACTTGTCATAACCTGTAATATCTCGAATAATTGTGCCCTTGCTGTCTTAATTTTTAACCGTGCCCAGTAGCTTCAATAACTGCGTAACGCCGGGGTGTACAAATTGGGCAAGGATACAAACGAGTATGAAGTCTGTAAATATTAAGTTTTTCCAAGTCTATGTTATTTAATTTTATCAGCAAAACAGATGTTAGATCCTGTTTTGCAGTACCTGCTGATTCTGCTTTCAATGATACAGATAAAGTACCAGGTGGTGCAAGCTCATTTGCAATGACTTTAGCTGTGAAGCTTGATGCCATTATTAAAGCAGCCGATGTAGACAAATACGGCCCACCGGACTTCGTCCCCGCACTTTGTGTGGACTAGGCCCTGAACACTGGGAGTTCGGTCGTGAGTTCGCGCCGCACTCGGAAGGGCTGGCAGCGTGGAGTTTCGGGTTTTCTCCATGTCGATGACGCCTGAATAGGGGCCAGTTTTTTATAAAAAGTCCTCCCGGAAGACATTCTTTTCCCCGCACGCGTATTGACCATTCTATAAAACCGTCTCTTCATTTGCCTAGCGATCAAAACCAAGCTATTCGGAGGATAAACTCCGTATTAATACCCCTTACGATAGAAAGAAATCAAGAATGCTAGACAGCAAAAGAAGTACTGCAACGCATCTCGAAAATGAACTAGAAATCTTCCAGACTACAGGTGAAAAATACTTTAAAATGCACTACAGACGATTCCACCCACATCAATTGAATCGGAAAGAGCATTCTCCGTAGCAAGACATTTCATTACTAAAATAAGAACCAGATTGAGTGATCAAAGTATCGACCATCTTTGTTTTTTAAAACCTTATTAAAAAATTTACAATAATATTTTGTATTATGTTTTATTTAAAAAACGAAAATTACCTTCTAAGTTAAAGTTTGATCTAAGTTCAATTTTTTCTTTAAATTTTCTACTCAATTCAAATGTATTTTGTTGTGTTATAAGCAGTTCCCAACAAACTTTAATAGATTTTTTCTATTTGTGAAAATTTCTACGTAATTCAAAAGTAATTTTTAATACATATTTTACACAGCATCATTAATATTATTATTATTTTGGAGGTTGCGGGACGTATTAAATTACTTAAAAAATGAAAAATAATTTTAAATTCGGTTTTAAGATTTATTTTATATCTTAAAAATAATTGATTAGATCCGGGAAACAGATAACTTGTTTTCTCGAAATCCCGGGGCAAAGAACTGGGAAATGAGAAACCCTAGATGTTAGTGTTTGGGGGGGTACGACTTTGTTCACCCTCTTTGAAAGCTTAATAACTTCCGTGCTTTTTGTCGGAAAATTCTGAAGTTTTGCAGGGTGATTTGTATATTAGGGGATCGATGCAATTAAATTTTGGTGGTTAAAGGTTGAGGGGGTGGAGAGATACAACGGGTCGTGTGCCCTATCTCGAGTAGGGTCGGACTTAATGACGATTTTTACTGGTTATTAGCATTTACATTTTTTTTTTTATAAAACTCGTCCCTACCCTCAAAAATTATGAATTTTTGCCAACTTATAATAATTAAAAATATGATAACGGATGACACTATAAAAATTTTAAATATTGCCAGGAAAGTTAAGTAACTCATTGCTGGATGTTTTTGACTTTTTTATGTTCGGAGAGATATCTCAAAACGTGGAGATTTGCAAAACCTCTGAGGGTTAAATTTTAACACGATTCCAACACTCCCTTCTTATATATACATAACAGCCGGGAAAGTAAAAACATACAAAACCAACCCCGAAATACTCGAGGTTTTTCGACCCGTTTCGTCGATCTTTGGCCCCAGAGCGGCAGGCTGCCACCTTAACTGCTCGGCTATCTGACTGAGGTAGAGCGAGTTCCCCTTTTTCTCTTCGCGGATCCCTTTTCGAGATCTGTTTAAAAGAACAAATAAAATGCATCGAACGTTTTTTATTAATAAAAATCTAGCAACGAGATTTACGTAACTTTTCCGGCTGTTATATGATTTTATTTAAAAAACAATTTTTATATTATTAATCATAATAAACAGGAAGGCCGGTTGGCTAAGGGAGGGCGCTGGTGGTCCGGTTAATTGCGCTCCGCCGAATTAGGCGTATTTGAAGTGAGCAGTGTGGGTTCGAACCACCAGTTGCCTTCTTTAAAAAAAAAAAAAAAGCCGGTTGGCTAAGTGGTCAAGGTGGCAGCCTTCCGCTCTGGAGGACCCGGGATCGAATCCGGACGGGTCAAAGATTCCCCAGGAAACCTTCGGGGGTGGCCCCTCACCACCAGGTCGCCCCACTGTGGGCCTGGTCGAACCCATAATGGGCTTGCTATAAGAGGCCCCCTTAGTGCCCACAGGGCAGAAAGAGTAAAAAAAAAATTATAATAAGCAGAATTGTGTGGCCATCCGTTATCATATATTATTATAAAAAATGTTTACACTGTATTATTAGAAAATAGCAAAAATCCGTTTTGTGGGTAGTGACGAGTTTTATTTTTAAAAAAATTGTAAATGCTAATCACGAGTAAAATTATAGTTAATCTTATAGTTTTAAATCGAAAATAACTCAGAAATGCATTATTTCAAAAAATAAAAATTTTAATGGATGGCAACATTTTTATATTAAAAAAATCTAAAACATTTTTTAAATAACATTAAAATAAATTAAGTAGCGAAGGTGGAGAAAAATTGAATCTAATGGTATTATTTACATAATTTGTTACTAAATTAATTTATCACTATCTTAATTTCATCCCCGAACATAAAAAATAAATTAAAATTATAAAGTAATGTACTTTCGACGGCCGAACGGAATTTGCGGAACTTATTATATAATCCACTACATGTATTTTCCACCCCATGTTTCTCTGTGTATAACTCTGAAATATAAAAGTCCGTGTTTACATTTTCTTAGCATTGAAACAACAATATAAACTGTAATTAATCAAAAGACACGTAATTACCTGATAATACACGACGTCGGGAACAGACGAATCCGGAGTCCAGTTCAGAATTGTGGCTTCTCCTTCCTCGCATTGAAATATTAAAGAATTCCTAAACTTTGCAAAGTTGACGAAATTGTCGGCTTTTCTCGGTTCGGAATTATTGTTGTAAACCCAAGAACACAATCTGCCCACTACAATACATAATATTAAAAATGACACATTAGTGTAATACCGATTTATATGGAATAATTCGAGTATTCCCTTTTATACGAAATTTAAAATATTTTTAAACATAATAAATGGAAATTTTCATAAATAAATAAGCATTTCGATTCCAATGCAGTTTTGTGAATTTTATCTTTCTATTGACGATTATAATTTCATTTAATTAAATACCAATTTTATTTTATTCTAGTTTTTATTTGTTTTCTGCCTAGGATTACAATGTAAAGTGGCATTACTTCATTTATTACGGTACACTAATATTTTATAGGAATCAATGAAGATAAATAACATCCTTTTTATATATTTTTGCTGTTATAATTACTTGCCACAAACATTTTACAAAATCCAAAACTGAATAATCCTTATCTTAGATTGTCATAAAGAGAAGTAACTTTTATACATTTATTTAAAAGTACAAAGTAATTACTGTATCTTAAAATGTTCGTAAACATATATTTTAACAACATAAATTTAAGTTTATTAAAATTCCCATAGACTACCGTTTGAATTGGCGGCAGCCAGGCATTAGTATTAATGGAAATACAGTAGAGCATCGATTAACCGACTCAATTGGGAACTGGGGTTGGTCGGATAATTGAAAAGTCGGATAACCGAAAAGTACGAAAAAATCCATTATTAGTGTAGTATATTATTATATCCCATGCAATTAGTATATCGCTAATAACCTACTTCGCGTTGAATTTTCCTCCATGTTAAGCCTATCAAATTNATAAAGCGATTAATTTACGTTGCTGTCACCAGTTAAAAAAAAAAAAAAAAAACAATATGGTGTGATTATAGTTAGCCAATAATATGATAAGAAAAAGTATATTGTCCAATGGCATCCATGAATTATATGAGATATATTTAACAAAAATAATAAATTTGAAATTTCAATTTGTTGGATGTAGACAATTATTTAACCAAAATACTAGCCATAAACATGGTGTGATTGTTGCACCTTGACTTTACTTTTGTGATTTTTTAATTTTTTTCTTTGTTACTTTTTGTTACATCTAATCATTTTTTTATTTTGTATATATATGTTTTTGTAAATTATTTTTGAAATATTTTTGTTTTTTCTTTTCTTTTTTTGTTTTTAAATTTACTTATCATAAAAGAATCTTTAATATACTTACTTATAATATTTTATAACAATTAAAAATTTTGTTTAAATTCCTGTATCATCATGAATTTGAAGGAGCTAGATCCTAAGCGTCAGATGCATATTGGGAATTTTGAGAATATGGGTGCTGATTGAGGCAGATTCGGGAGGGACCAAGTTGCATGCCCCTTTTGTATTTTGGAGAATGTTACTCGATTACCTTAGGATTATTTTGGTTAGCTAATTTTACCTATTTAAAGTTGTGCAATATGCATTACTATATTTTTATTTTACAGTAACAAAACTGATTTCTTTGGTGTTGACAGGGATGACATATGTAATGAATTTGTATATTTTTGCATGTTTCTAGTCAAAATAATTTTAAATATGCACATTATAATCTGACTCCTCAATCTAGTTTGAAGAGGTCAGCACATCAAATATGCAATTCTCAGCAATGCACTAATACCAGGTTAATTTTACTAAATTTTCAATGAAGTATACAAAAATCCATTTTTCTTGTGAAGTTTTTGAAATATTAAAAGATATTAAAACACAGTTATTGCATAGATTCAAGGATATCATTCAAAGTATATTAAATACAAACCCGACTAAATATTAAACTTACTTGTATAAATAGCAGCATAATGATTTTATAAATTAAAGACTCCAACTAATTATAAATGTTAATAATATCAAAACAAGAATATTTTTGAAATTTGAAAATTATTTTTTAAATGAAAATTTCAATTATAAAATGGTTTCTTTAGATTCTCACGTTATTTTATTAATTAAATTGTATAGTTACCTGCAGAAGGATGTGGGCGTCCTCTTCTGTCAAACTGTACGCCTGCATAAACTTTAACTTTCTGCAAGATTTACAATAGTATAAATATTTAATTATCATCACATAATTTATCTAATTACAGTTAAAATTATTTATACAAGAATACTTTTTTTACTTTAATTTCAAATAGTTTCGATAAAATTTTCAGTAATAGAAGTTTACTTTATATGTTACTTCTTGGAATATATATGTTACTGTGAAAGACCGAAATTAGAGAATGTCAATATTCTCCGGTGAATGTCGACACATACAAAATACGTCGGTGAAAGACCGAATATTTTGTTATATTATTATTAGTGTTGTAACGAATAGTATATTCGGCCTCAGGCCAAATACCGAATATTCGGCCAGGAGCGTAGACGAATAGCCGAATATTCGGCGAAACTATTTGGCTTGATTAACGCAAGTACGAAAATTGGCACGCAAACCGCATTATAGCCAGGACCTGCTCTCCATTGGCCAACTGTCACTACGCTTCGCCAATCGCGTTAATTCTTGACAGTTCAGACAAAAGTGTCATGGCAGTATGTGATAAATGACGATATCAACTGTGAATAACAATGAAATGACCTACACATGTAAATAATGGAAAAAGAACAGAGAAAGACCACAAAGTGAAAATGTGAAAATACATATGAAATTGAGTCGACAGCATAATAGAACAAGTCGAAGCAGCTTATTGGCGCCAAATTTGCGGCCGTCAATGCCAAACAAGTATTGTCATAGACTTCGGAAAGCTTAATGCTTGTAATGAAAGTCACTTAGTGTGCATGGGCGAAACCCTGGGACCATTCGGGCTATCAAGCTGTCTCGAATCTGTGAAATCATAACTATGACATAACTATCTGCCTCTTTTCTACGTTATCACCAGGCTATGAGTCACGTAATTATAAAATGGAAACACAACGATGGAAAAGTGACGAATCGAAAGTATCGTGAGCGCGTATTATGATGTATGCATAGGCATACATGGATTAGAGCGATAGAGGAAAGATAAAAGAAAGAGCAAAGACGAGCGCTTAAAAAGAATAGACAGGGTCAGACCCTCAGATGTGTGTGACAATTCTCGAACGAATAGGTGTGTACATATGCTGATATTTCTAATTATAAATTGTAAATACATGTGACTAATATTATTTTTTTTATTTTGTGAATGTTATAAGATATAAATAAATATAAATAAACAACACTAACCCGATAACATTAAATCTAAATACCAAAATGATTAACTTACTGTGTTTTTGTTATTTCTTACTCCTGTTTTTAGGTATTCGGTATTCGGCCGAATAGTGATTAAATATTCGGTATTCGGCCGAATAGTGAAAAATAGGCCGAATACNCACGTACGAAAATTGGCGCGCAAACCGCATTATAGCCAGGACCTGCTCTCCATTGGCCCACTGTCACTACGCTTCGCCAATCGCGTTAATTCTTGACAGTTCAGACAAAAGTGTCATGGCAGTATGTGATAAATGATGATATCAACTGTGAATAACAATGAAATGACCTACACATGTAAATAATGGAAAAAGAACAGAGAAAGACCACAAAGTGAAAATGTGAAAATACATATGAAATTGAGTCGACAGCATAATAGAACAAGTCGAAGCAGCTTATTGGCGCCAAATTTGTGGCCGTCAATGCCAAACAAGTATTGTCATAGACTTCGGAAAGCTTAATGCTTGTAATGAAAGTCACTTAGTGTGCATGGGCGAAACCCTGGGACCATTCGGGCTATCAAGCTGTCTCGAATCTGTGAAATCATAACTATGACATAACTATCTGCCTCTTTTCTACGTTATCACCAGGCTATGAGTCACGTAATTATAAAATGGAAACACAACGATGGAAAAGTGACGAATCGAAAGTATCGTGAGCGTGTATTATGATGTATGCATAGGCATACATGGATTAGAGCGATAGAGGAAAGATAAAAGAAAGAGCAAAGACGAGCGCTTAAAAAGAATAGACAGGGTCAGACCCTCAGATGTGTGTGACAATTCTCGAACGAATAGGTGTGTACATATGCTGATATTTCTAATTATAAATTGTAAATACATGTGACTAATATTATTTTTTTTATTTTGTGAATGTTATAAGATATAAATAAATATAAATAAACAACACTAACCCGATAACATTAAATCTAAATACCAAAATGATTAACTTACTGTGTTTTTGTTATTTCTTACTCCTGTTTTTAGGTATTCGGTATTCGGCCGAATAGTGATTAAATATTCGGTATTCGGCCGAATAGCGAAAAATAGGCCGAATAC